ATAATGATGCGTTTCTATATCTGCGAGTGTCAGAAGACCGATGCTTGTCTATGTACATTAACATTGTTACTATACTGTAAGCGTTGCTATTATAGCTGATTTTATCGGTGTCACCATCGTCTTCGTCTTTTTTATTAGGGGGGGGGTAGATTTCTTTGTTTGTTTGGTTTTTTGCTTTTTCTTTTTGTTTTTGTTTTAATGCTTGTTAAACTAATTCTTTACACGTAATTAAATACGGATATTCAACTTACATCTACTTCTAATACTCGTCATGTTGTGCGAAAAATCTTTCTTTTTTTTGTAATACCAATAAATGATGATATAAACTGCATTTCTGTAGCACATATCCAAGCCATATACCTTGTTAGTTGTTTGTTGTTTTTTCTGGGGGGGGGGGGGGGTTGTTTTTTGTTTTTGCTTTTTCTTTGTTTTGTTTTGTTATTTTGTTTGTTTGGGTTGTTGTTGTTATTGTTGTTGTTGTTGTTGTTGTTGTTGTTGTTGTTGTTGTTGTTGTTGTTGTTGTTGTTGTTGTTGTTGTTGTTGTTGTGGTGGTGGTGGTGGTGGTGGTGGTGATGATGATGATGATGATGATGATGATGATGATGATGATGATGATGATGATGATGATGATGATGATGATGATGATGATGATGGAAAGAAAGAGGTTGGTGTTGTTCGGTAATTTTCTCTTAATTCCCAAGCTACAAGTGGCAAGTGTAGCATCTAACACAGGATCTCCAAAACTGTGGACCCCTGTTTATTCAAGTAGGCCTAAACTTATTTTAATTTTTCTTTTTTCTTTTTTACATTCGTTGCAACATTTTGATATATCCTCAAAAAATTAAGCCTACTACTTTTCTATATTTTGGAATACAACGTCTCAGCAAAAAAGACTGAGATAATCGATGTGAAGCCTTCCCACACGGGAATCGAACTCAGGTCATATGCTAGCGACGGCGAAACTAAACAGTGGATGAAGGAAATAGAATGAATTCTGATAAGACAAAAGAAATGTGTTGCAAAAAGTAAGGACATGGTCTCAACAAAGGTAGCCAGTGAACCAGGGAACAAACAACAAAAGGTCGTTGCCATTGGAAGAGAGACAACAAAGCCTGTCTGTCTCGCAGAATGAGAGAGAGAGAAAAAGAAAGAGAGAAAGAGAGAGAGAGAGAGAGAGAGAGAGAGAGAGAGAGAGAGAGAGAGAGAGAGAGAGAAAGAGAGAGAGAGACACTCACACACAGAGAGAGACAGAGAGAGACACAGAGAGACACATAGAGAGAGAGACAGAAAGAGAGAAGAGAGAGAGGGAGAGAGAGAGAGAGAGAGAGAGAGAGAGAGAGAGAAAGAGAGAGAGAGACACTCACACACAGAGAGAGACACAGAGAGACACAGAGAGACACATAGAGAGAGAGACAGAAAGAGAGAGGAGAGAGAGAGGGAGAGAGAGAGAGAGAGAGAGAGAGAGAGAGAGAGAGAGAGAGAGAGAGATGGAGAAAGATAATGAAGCAGTGAAAGAATATTACGCCTCGAGGGTATTGTTCTGTTCCTGCACTCACTGCACTCGGCTTTTCTGTCCTGAGTCTGTCGATTAAGGCTAAGTCACTCGTCCCCCACCCACAATCATCATCAGAGGACATAAGATATAAACCACAACAAACGAATTCAAAAAATAATTCCTACCAAACTGAAAATGCTTAATGTGTTCCGAGTACTCATTTTATGACCTTATGCAGATAGATGCAAGCGCCGTAAAACGCTTACCAAAATTGTTAAAAGGCACACACTCACACACATACTTCCATGCACACACACACACACACACACACACACACACACACACACACACACACACAC